CTTGTGAATACCTTAGTTGTGACACATATCCCCCCGCATTTTGACCAAATGTACTCTTGTGTCAATAGGGTTTTTGCTTGACTTTCCTCAAGCAAGTTAAACTTCTCAAGTATCTTCTCAATATAGTAAGATTGGGAAAGTACAATTTCTTCTGATGTTCTAGAGATCTTAATCCCTAGTATCACATCAACCATACCCATGTCTTTTATATTGAAATGCTTCGTTAGCATTTTCTTGGTGTTTAGAAACATTTCATGACTATTGCCCATTATTAACATGTTGTCTATATAAAGCCATACAATGGCATAGGCATTTGGTACATGTTTTACATATACACACTTGTCACACTCGTTGATTTTGAATTTGTTTAACAACAATTTTTTGTCAAATTTCTGGTGTCATTGTTTAGGAGCTTTTTCTAATCCATACAAGGACTTAACGAGTTTACAAACCTTATGTTTGTTATTAGGAGAAACGAACTCTTCAGATTGCTTCATGTATATTTCATCTTCTAACTCACCATTTAGGAATGTCGTTTTTACATCCATTTGATTAATCTTAAGGTTATGTATTACCGCAATTGCAACTAGTAACCTTATTGAATGATTCTAGTTACGGTGAGTAGGTATCAAAGAAATCAAGTCCTTCTTTTTGCCTATATCCTTCGACAACCAACCTAGCCTTATACTTGTCAATTGATCCATCAGGTTTCAAATTTCTTTTGAATATCCATTTACATCCTAAAGGCTTGTTCCCAAAAGGTAAATAACTAACTCCTACATATGATTTTGCATTATGGAATCTATCTTGTTGTTGATAGCTTCCTTCCAATACGATGCTTCTGGTGTAGACATGGCTTCATCGAAAGTCTTTGGATCATTTTCTACCATGTAGGTTAGAAAATCTAGACCAAATGAAGTATATATTCTTGTTCTTTTAGTACGCCTCAGTTCTTCCTCATACGAAGTACCATTTGTAGTATCATAAGNACTACTATTATTGGCGTATCTAATAAATATGTAATCAATCATTTTAGGACCAATCTTCACTTGCTTAGGCCTAGGTACTTCAACCTTAGCCAAACACACCCACACTTTCAAGTGTTCGTAGGACGGAGGATGACCTTTCCATAATTCATATGGAGTCTCTTCCATAGTCTTGAGGGCTATCCAATTAAGAAAACTATTTGCTGTTAGAATAGCTTCCCCACAAGTTATGTGGTAAGCCCAAACTTAGCAACATTGCATTCATCATCTCTTTGAGAGTTCGGTTTTTGAGTTCAGCAATGACATTTGATTAAGGAGAGTAAGGTGCCATTATTTGATGAATAATTACATGTTCGGAACAAAATTCTTCAAATGGTGCCCCGTATTCACCTTCCTATCACTACGAATATTCTTTATTCGTTTATCGAGTTGAGTTTCAACCTCGGCCTTATATAGTTTAAAGGCTTCCAACATTTCGTCGTTACTTCTCAAAAGAAAGACATAACAATACCTTGTACAGTCGTCGATGAAAGTCACAAAGTATTTCTTACCCTCTCTAGTTTGAATGAGTTTCAAGTCATATATATCACTATGGACTAACTCTAAAGGTGTTGTGTTCCTTTGAATTGAGTGGAACGGTGTTTTAGCCAATTTTGCTTCAACACATACTTTGTATTTATGATTATGATCAATCTTAAGCGTCGGAATTAAAATTTGATTCATAAGTTTGCGCAAAGATTTAAAATTCACATGTTCTAATCGACTGTGCCACAAACAAGACAACTCAAGCAAGTAAACAGAATTTAAACTTTTATTCATCGAGTTTTGTATTGGTACAATAGTAAGAACGTTCAATTTGAACATTCCATCACACATATATCCCTTGCCTACATACATGTCATTCTTAGACGGTACAAATTTATCGGATACAAACACTAGCTTAAAGCCATTTTTACTAAGAAGAGATCCGAATACTAAATTCTTTCGTATGTTTAGCACATGTAGGACGTTGTTGAGGATGAACTCTTTCCCAGATGTCATCTTCAAAGTGACTTTGCCTTGTCCTTCAACCTTGGAACTTGGAGAGTTCCCCATGTAAAGTTGTTCCCCGTTCAGTTCTTGATAGTTGGAGAACATGGTCCTATCTGCACATACATGACGGGTGACGCCTATTTGACTCGAGTGATTAAGCCTGTTGGGTATCTTAAAACTTGGTACCCTATAAGTCATTTTACTTTGGAATTATCGACCTAAGGCTCATTACAGAAGTCATTTTGAAAACTTAATGAAAAATAGTATGCATATAAGATACAAAAATTATATATGCTCACAAATACGGAGAGAACGGAAAATTATACAAAGAAAAATTAAATATGAGCTTTTAATATAAAATATCCTAGTAGCACTGGATTTGACGTCATATTTTGAGCAATATATTCATTAACCAATGATTCTTTGAATGTCCTATCTCACTGATATACGGTTTTAAGACTTATTTATAGGAGATTAATGACATTTTTCACATAATGACTTATATAATTTACTCCATTTAGATTTAGAATAAGTTATGTGGGAAAAACTTACCGTTTATGAATTATACATGTATAAGTAAGCATATAACTGTTCACGATGTTATATTTTTTTAAAAAAAAATCCATGAAAAACATTTGTCACAAAAATAAGAAAATTTTTGTTCTCACATTACATATTTTGCACAATTTTGCATAATTGTATATGTGCATATTGTTTTCGCTCATTCATCTCTATGTTATTCATGAGTATATTGCTAATCTTCTTTTGTTATTCGTGATAAAAAAAGGGGAAGATGTTAATATTTATTTTAGAGATTCAAATAGTTGAGTATATGAATTAGGAGCAGAAAAATTGAATTTTTTAAATTTTTTATTGATTCTTGGTTTGAATTTTAATATTGATATTGATATTGTATTTTGTGTTTTGTCAATTTTGATGTTAATATTCTATTATTATTCCTATGTTATTAATGCATGTAATATTACATCCTTTAGTATTGTACATGTTTTACTTGCATTGTTTTATATGACTTAGTAATATTTTTAATTGTTATTTTTTTCTTACTTTTCACATGGTATTGTTGTTTCCATGTATTTAAGGAAGCAAGTTGACATGATGTTGAATTAATTTTTTGGAATTGAGTTTTTGGGTAGATTGTTGATATTGACTTTAACTTTACAATAAATGATTTTGTAACGGAATGTCAAAGGGGAAGATTATTAGGTCCAAATTATATAATTAGCAATTTTCAAATTTGTATTTATAATTTCCTTAGTTAAAATCATGTTTTAGTTGAATTGTATTAGGAGTTAATTGAGTTGTAATTAAAGTCAAAATAAGAGTTATTGAGTCTTAGTATAATAAAAATAGTTTGAGGTTCACAGATTCTAAAAGAAGTCAAAGAAATACAAGAAGAATTTCAAGATTCTGACTTTAAGAAGTAGAGAAGAAACAGACTCAACATTGCTTGCTGGCCACCCTGTTGGCGCTCAAGCGCCCAAAACAGGGATGTTGCCACTCACTTGATGCAAGCTTGGTGCTCGAACGGTATACCATCACTCACTTGGCACTAGGCCAAGCGCTCGAGAGACGACCTTATCCAGGGAAAAACCTGATTCGATTTTAACTATGATTTTCAATTCATTTTCATCCCAAACACTAACCATTATAATTATAAAGCCTATGATCCGTCCAAAGTGTATTGAATCATTGTATTACCTTAGAGATCATATTATTGAATATCCAAAACACATTCTTTTGATTCCTTGATTCAACATGATATTCAAATTTTGGTGGCGAGATGGTTGTGAATGAGCAAAAAAATTTCAAATTTTCTGGTTTTTTTGTGTTGAAATCTTACGAAAGGAAGTATAGTATGTTGATTGACAGTTCTGGTGCTTTTGGGGATGAAAATGTTGATGGTGGAGATGAGCGATCGAAAATTGTGGGCACATTGGAGTTTGACAAACATGGGATCTTTTAGTTGTGGCGCGATGTAGATATGGAAAATGTAGTGGTGCTAATGTCCTTTTCGGAGGTGGTGGGGGGGGGGGTGATTTCGACAATGGTAGTGGTTTTGGTGGTTGAAATAGGTGTCAACAGTGGTGGTGAAAATAAGTGGCAGCAGCGGCAGTGTAACAATGTTTGTTACATGTGGTAGTAACAGCGATAGTGGTTTAACAATAAATGTTACAAGTGGTGGAATCAGAGATTGTAATGTAATAATGAATGTTACAAGTGATGAAGTTGAGGTTGGTGATGGCATAACACTGAATGTGTGTATTATATTTTTACAAAATAACACATCTAATAAGGTGTTTTGTATAACTCTATTTGATTACTATGGAGTTAGTGAAGATAATTTCCAATGAAAAGTTTTTTTTTTATTCATTTTGCTCATAGACAATGTACAATTGTAAATATTTCCTTCTTAGGGCTAGGAAGATTTTTTTGCTAGCCTTTTTGTCGATTGATGGACTCATCCTAAACGTCGTTTAGATTCTAAATGAAAGGATGAAACACCAATAAATTTTAAAAAAATTATAGATATTGAAGTTAAAAGATAACAAACCTAATAAAGAGTTATTTTCTATAACAGCAGCAACCATTTTAAAAAGAACAACGCTATCTAGTACCAAAATAAGAATTCATTCACATCCGAATCCCTCCTTACTAATACAATTTCCTATTTAGAGTGAACTCATTCAAGGGTCAGTTGGAGTAAAGAAATGAAAATTTCATGCCTACAGTTTCGATCCATGAACACTAAATGTGCACATAATTCTCAATTAAAAATCCCAGTTTGCCAATCTAATGTCATCCCACAACAAGAATATTTCACTCATGCATTTTGCACCTATCAACACGAATTAAAACTAAATTTCATGATCAATATATATGGAATGTGTATAAATATAATAAAAACACAACTTAGCAAGTAAATTTGCAAATCCCATAAACCTACAGAAGACTCCTTTCAAAATGGTGTACAACACTCTCTCTTTATCGGATAAAGATTTAGTCAAGGAAGAACCAGTTTTCCTCTCCTCCTCTAGTAACCCTACCCCAATTGAAACCATTTTTTTATCAAACATTGACCAAGCAGTAATTTTTCCTGTGGAAACAGTCTTTTTCTTTGAGGTTTCTCCAAATAAGACCTCTTCTTCAACACTAAACATTGCTGGAATAGTTAAAAAAGCAGTAGAAGAAGTGCTTTTGGTTCCATACTATTTCATGGCTGGTAGGCTTAAGCTTAATGATGAAACTAAGAGATTGGAGCTTTTATGTAATAATGCTGGAGTTATGTTTGTGAGTGCAACATCAAGACTAACATTGAAGGATCTTGGAAATCTTTCCCTACCAAATCCAGCTTTTAATCATTTAATTCATCGCCCGGGGTTGTACAAAAGTCTTGATGAAACTGCAATTTTTACTATCCAGGCAATTCCCGTTTTAACTCTTCAGTGTTGTCTATACTAAGTATATTAAAAACCATGATATATGATTTTTGGGTGATTTTACAGGTAACCAGGTTTGAATGTGGTGGATTTTCACTGGCGTTTATGACGAATCATGCCATTCTTGATGGAAAATCGGCTAGTGAAATGTTTCATAACCTTGCTTCTATATGCAGAGGGGAAGGCCTAATATCCAATGTTGTTAACAATGATAGAACATGCCTTAGAGCAAGAACTCCACCTCAGATCGATTATCCTCATAATGAATACATAAAACTCGTGAAAACTTCGTATCTTGCCTCGTCTTTCACCTCACAAAACCTTACATCTCCATCTCCACTGAATTTCGCAGAAAACTATGTTCACAAACTCTTCCCCTTCACTTCAGAAATGCTCGTTTCTCTCAAAGAGGAGGCCACGGTAAAGTGTTCCACATTTGAAGTAATTGTAGCCCACCTTTGGAGGACAAGAACAAAGGCAGTTTTTGAGAAAAAGCAATCAGAAGATTCAACTGTTTTTTTTGCAGTGGACATAAGATCTAAAATATCTCCACCTTTACCAGAAGGGTTTGCTGGAAATGCTGTAATCACAGCCTTTGCAACTGCAAAAGCGCGGGATTTAATCAACAAGCCAGTTTCTTTCGGGGTTAAGAAGGTTAAGGAAGCAAGGGAAAGCGTAACAGATAATTATGTAAAATCAGTAATAGACTGGTTGGAGGTTTACAAAGGAATTCCAGCAACTTGTAATGGGAATTTTTATGTTTCAGCTTGGTGGAAACTTTCATTTGGAGAGCTTGATTTTGGCTTTGGGAAGCCTGTTCATGGTGGTCCAATTGTTGGTGGGAATGATGAGTTTGTCCTTCTTCTCTCTAATGGGAAGAATTGTGAGAGAAACAGAGGGATTGATGTGTGGATGGGGCTTGAAAAAGGGAAAATGGAAAGGTTTATGACTTATGTTTTTGAAATATGAGTTAGCTAAAGACTAGATATATTGACACTACACTTCTTAACAACTGTATCACACTTCTAATTGATTGAAAGTCCCAACCTTCACTCATTATCACATTGTTTTCTAACTTTTTCATCGCATTCTTATTCTAAAATTAATCCACGTTGTCTCTAATAATGACATCTGTTCCAAAAATTTGTTTATTAGAAAGATCTTGCATGTTCCCTTTATTAGAAAGAAGCTTATGAGTTTGTCTAAGTTTGGCACGACAATAACTTCACTCTGTCTAACATCTTATTTTCTCAAAGCATGCACCTTTTTTTTTTTATGGTTTTATCTCTCATAGGTCACACCTCAAATAATGGAATACATCCACTATTTATAGGATCAATAATTACCTTTTTATTATTTGCAGTAGAAGTCCTCCAACTTTTACTTTGAAGCAATTACCTAACAATCTCCACCTTATCAAAAACAAGTCAAAATATTGTCATCTCTTCTACAACTTTAGTCACAATACCTTGGAAAAATAGGTAAGTCTTTGACACACTTTAACAGTCTCATACTCTACCATATGAGTATAACCACTCAGAATTATCCACAGACTCTTGAGAATTTCATCAGCTACATATCGAAACAACCTTGCTGATAGTTATGGTGCGACTCTCCCAGTGACTTTCCCAGAGAGCCCATTAGCCATCGACACTACAACACCACCACCTACCCACACACCTTGCATCAAATGTCAGTCAATGCTATGTGCAGATATGCTGCCCCACGCCAGTAAGAACACATCC